TTTTAGGGCCATTCTATTCCAGGACTATCTCATCTTGAGATCTTTAACTTGGCTCATCTGTAAAGACCCCTTTTTCAAACAAGGACACATTCATACACTCTGAGTAGGGAGGGCTTAGTCCTATCTTTTGGAGATGACAATGTAACCCACTCTACTTCACCAGGATTAGCTTCCAGAAGTTACCCCATGCCACAGCTGGCCTTCCATTCTATATGGCTGGCATAATGCATCACAGCTGGAGAGGAACATCTGCTCAAAAGTTGAGGGTAAAGTGGGTGACCTCAGAAATCTCTCTAGAACCTTCTTTCTCCTTCCTTACTACTTCTGTCTTGCTGAAGGCCTTGTCTCAGCTAAAACGATTTTGTTGATCTTCAGTCTCTATATCCTCTCTATACCCAACAGGTAAATGTTTAAGCCTCCTTCTTATACATAGTCATTCCAGAATCCTACCACATACATCTTAAGCACCAAGCAAGCACTTGAACCAAATCTGAGTACCCTGGAGGGCTCCTGAGAGTCATACATGCAGTCAGCAAACATTGTTAAGTGCCAATGATGAACCAGACACTGCATAAAGTGAACAAGAAAAAGTCCCTGAGCTCATAAAGCTAACATCATAGTGAGAAAGACAGAAAGTCTTCAAGATACTGAGTACATGATTTGCTATAATTTCAGGCAGTAATAAGTACTAATGGTAAATAAAGCAGTTGACAGGATAAAGAAAACAGAGAGGGGTTATGGGAGAAGCCAGAGGTGGTCAGAAGCCATCTTTGAGGGTTTGACAGCGCCCAAATGAAATAGTGAACTGTTTTGAAAATTTGGGGAAAGGATTCCAGCAGAGATGCTAGATAAATGTGGGGAAGAGATTCCAGCAGAGCTGCCAGATCGTGAAGCCCCTGAAGTGGAAATAAGGTTGGAGGATCAGAAGACAATGCTGGCAACTTGCCAATCCAACTCCCTTCTGAAGTGAGCACTTAGCTCTAGGCAATATGCCTAAGAGTGGCAGTCTCCACCTCTGGTCAAGTGGACTGGCTGTGACAGGCCCTCTTGAGCTGTACTGCTTAGCTAACCCAGTCAGGCAGGTAGGTCTTTGACCTGCTTTAGCAGGCTAAGTCCGATTCCATGGAGCCAGGTCACCAAGAGGTAAGCCAAGTTCCTCACCGTGACATAGGGATTAGGTTGGAAGCTACAGGTAAAGAATTAAACCATGTAGCCTTGGTCTGGAAGTTCAAAAAGTACTTGGAAAAATGAGGAGACAACACTAGGACCTGGAATCCAAATCGCACCCAGCAGAAAGCCAAGGTTACCTGGAGAGAGAGGTTGCTGGAAAGAGCTTCTGCTGTCCATCTAACTATGCATTAGCTCAGGCTGCCTGGCCTTGGCCATCTTCTTGCATATAAAGAAGCTATAAGCCGCCAAAGGTGCCTTCCTCTTAACTATATCCCATGGCAGGGTAACAGGTACCACGAATCCCATTACCAGATACCTGGGCCAGATAGAGTGAAGACTAATTTTAGCAGGAAATCTGATCATTCCAGCATTTCCTATACCCAGCACTGACTGCATCTGTATCTATACTGTCAGCCTCTGGAGGCCAAGGAACCATCTGCTTCAACCCCTATCTTTTTAGGCCCAACAAATGTAAATCAAGAGAACTATCATTCTGGATTAGGAGTTTAAGGGTGTTCAATCGCCCCACTAACCCTTCTGTTCATATACATGAACAAAAGCAGAGCCAGCATCCAACGAAGATGGAGCAATGTCCATGCATTGCTTGCCTGACAAATTACATGTCATGTATCTCTGAACAACAAGAAGCAAGAACAACTCTACAAAGAATTCCTACTCATATGAATCATTGCTAAAATAAAGAGTAGAATCATGGTCTTCAGAGAGAATGGCCAAGGCACTCTAAAAAAAAAATTAGGAGGGTGAAGGAGTGTGGTGGTTACTTAGGACTAAAGCTCTTTCTTTCCTTTTCTTACTTTATCAATATTATCTTGTTGATCTCTACAGAATCTTAGAAAAAAATATGGGGGGCAAATACTGTGAGATGATGACCACAATACTCAAAGAAGTGACCCAGCATTATATAAGTCACTCTCAGACCAATATCCCATGCCAAAAGAAAAGACAGAAATTATAATAGAGTTAACCACTTGACATGTCTTAATTGACAGACGTTAGTTTTAAGTGACTTAAAATCTAACAAGGTCTGCAAAGTAGAGTAACAAAGGCCTCCACATTGCCAGCTGACAATAAATATTTGCAAAGGTCAGACATGCGAATGGCCATATGACCATAGCATGCTTCAACAGTTAAAACAAGTAAACAATACTGGAAGTGCTACCAATATACTAATATTCCTAACATCAAATTAATAATATAAGAAGCAAAAAAAATGCTATGCTTCTCTTATATAATAAATTTACTAAAGGTACAAGATCCCAATGATGAATGTAACTGTACTGCATACCTAAAATGTACCAATAAACTCAGTGAGAAAAAAAATAAATTTTCCATCTCTAATACGTAGAATTCAGTCATCCTGGAGAAATCACTGAGGAACAATTCAGATGATGGCTCAAAGAATGTTTCAAAGTGCTCTTGGTTGCTCCCCAGCCTGCCCAGTGGGAAGCCAGGGAATCAGTTATCATCATGGACTCAACTGTTGCCAAAAGAGATCTTTTGGGACATGAGGCCACTTTTTAAAAATACACTCTCTTTAATATTTGAAAATTATAAACTCTTTTCTTCCCTTAAGGTTAAGACGTCTTTTGAAATGGAAAAGAACAATGCACTATTTTCGAGGGGTTTCTAGACTGGCACCCTCCAGTGTGGTAGTTACTAGCCATGTGTGGCTACTACTTGAAGTATGGCTAGGATCAAGTGAGATGTACTCTAAGTGTAAAATACAAACCCAATGTCAAAAACTCAGTGTGAGACAACAGAAGAGAAAATAGCTCATCAATAATTTTGTATGTAAACTAAATGTTAAATTATAATATTTTGGATATATTAAGTAAAATATATTACAGAAGCTAATTTCAGCTATTTGGTTTTTCCCTTTATTGTGGTTACTAGAGAACTTTAAAGACAGCTGTGGCTCACATATATGGCAAATATTGTATTTCTATGAGAAAGCACTTTTAATAAGCCTCACACCACACCATTTCTGAAGGGAGGATACTGGCCTTTCATTTACTGCATTAACCTGGAGAGGTGGAACACACCGACTCTGGAGGCAAATCACTCTAAATTGGAATCCTGACTCTGCTATTTGCTTGACAAATAGCCTTAGGCAAGTTACTTAGCTTCTCTGTGTTCCAATTTCTGCATCGGTAAAATAATAGTAATCGGGACATAATAAGGATTAAATGATATGCATAAAGTGCTAAGGCTAGTGCTGGAAGCATAAGTACTCAGCAGATGCCTCTGGATTACTGTATGACTGTAATTGTTAGTAGTGTCATTACTGTTATTCCTTTTCCTAAATCCTGAGCTGCATTGATTTGTGATTTAATGAGTACATTCTATGTTTTCAACATTCCCTATGTATATGTGTAATTCACTAAGCAGAAAAAAAATTTTAAAACAAGTCATTAATGTATCTGCCCAAAGAGGATATTAAAACTATATGAAAGAGAGATTGTGCTAACTTCCCAAGACATGGCACTGGGAAAAAAGGTCCACCCTCTAGAATTAATTAACTTGGAAGTCACCAGAACAGTTTAAAATACAAACCAAGTAAGATGAGGATGAATGATTTTGATTGTGATTAAGTTTACTTATTCCAAGACTTTAATGATTAACTTTTATTGATTTTTAGCAGCCTAATGGATGATGCAAGATCTTTGAAGAAAGGGTCATAGGACAAAACTGATAAGCATCATCACAGCAGGATGGGCGAGGTCTCCCATCCTCACATCTTACTCCAGATAGCGCCCTTTCAGAGTCTGCCCAACTTTTCACTTTCAAAAAGAAATAAACAACTTCCTTATGAAAGCTCTTCCCCCCAAAACGCGATGAAATACTCAATACAAATAAAATCAGTTTGTGGGCCTTATTGCAAATGAAGTCAACTAGAGACACCAACTTCACATATCATGATTAGGAGCACAAATGCTTTATGAAAAATAGAATACAATCAAGAGTAAAACTTACTTTATATAATTTTTGAAGTAAAGCATATATTGTCAGATATCAAAATTTGAATAAGTCCAATTTCTAACCCATTGTGCACAATCAAAAATGACATTATCAATAAAATATAAAAATTTATTTCCTGTGCCTTTATTTTAATGATTAAATATTTCCTAAAGTATTTGCATTTAAAATTAATTACAGATAGAACTGTATTTATCATCTACAAAATGACGTATTAAAAATATATATATATAAATTGCAGAATGGCTAAATCTGGCTAATTAGCATATATATCATCTCACAAAGTCAACATTTCATATTGGGAACATTTCAAATCTACTCTCTTAACATTTTTCAAAAATATATTGTTAACTTCTATTTAAGTGAAAGCTTATATTCTTGGCTGACACCTGCTCAAGCTCCTGCCCCCTAATAATCATACACCCCTTTCTCTCTGAATGTGTAAACAGCAAGGCCAGCCCGAGGGTATTTTAACATCTCCATTCTCCTTTATCAGGTCATTCAGATATCCTCATGCCATCTTTCTTCACAAAATTTTGTGTGGATATATTTACTTCAAAATATTACGCACACATGGTTGAAGTTTAAACCTTTAAAACATTGTAAGTAGGAATCATAATTTTCAAAAATGACATACTGCGGTATTGTTTATTTTTAAAAAATAGTTTTGCAACTACTGCTCTAGGAAGTTTGCTAGGACAACATTTCTAAGCTGCCATTTCAGATACCAGCCCTTGAAAAACCAATAACGGGGTGTCTGTGCTGGCTCTCCGATATGACCTCTAAGGTATCCTGAGACCAAGAGCTGTATGAAAGAGAGATTGTTACGTTACCTTATTATCCTCTACATTGATTACTTCCAGGAAGTTGTGATCCTCTAAGCCTTGGAGGCTACTTATTTGATTGTGGGACAGATCCAAGTTCTGCAGAGCTTTCAGATCTTCCAAACCTGTTATCTTCTCAATCTGGTTATTGCTCTAAAATGGGCAAAACACGCATAATGTTTTAAACCCTTTCAACAGGACAAGTAAGTCTTCATTGTGGCGACTGCCCCAAATCTTTCTTTAAAAAAATCAATAAGCCATTCTTGTAATTGACTCCCTTGCATCATTCACCTCTCTCAAAATAAATCCTTTTTTTTCAGCTGGAAGATCAGACTATGATATTTTCATTTACTATTTTAATATTCTCAAGTTGAGTACCCAGATCAGTACCAAAGATGACAGCTATTGCAGGTATAAAGCCTAACAGCAGCTCCATATTTGTCTTTAGAAATATAAGTTCAATGCCACTCAATTTCAACTGATCATAATAAAACTTGAATATCGTAATTCCCACATATACTTTGTTTTCAGAAACATTCTATACATCATGCAGGCTGTGACAGTCTGTTGCCTTGGTGGCCCTCCAACAAGCCATGCCTGTGATTAGGCATGCTCTTGTGTAGTTGTCTCCTTTTCAGCCTAGGCTGGCCTATAACTTCCCTTATAAACAAAAGGGGATGGCAGAAGTATGCAATTTCAAAGTCTTGGGGCAAGACCTGAGATATCATGAAGAACTACAGCTATTCTACCACAGAAAACTTGTGCAGAGGTTACCTGGAAAAGGAGTCATGCAAATAGGCCCCAGGACTAACCACAGAGAAAACCTAGCCATCTCCGGGTCCAGAGGAGTCCCACCCTCAACTAACATGCTAGCTGAATGCAGCAAGCTCGATAGAGAACCACACAGCTGAACCTAGCTCAGATTAAGAACTGTTAGCTAATAAAATTATTTCCTGAAGTTATTACAAGTGGAGTGGCCAGTTATGTAATGCTAGATAACCTAACAAGCATTTCAAAAATTCACACATAAGCATCTGTCAGGCAATGAGAATAAAACAAACCTCCCATGTTCAAATGTTGTCCTCTTTCCTATTTTCAATATACCCATAAGAACAAGGATTATAAAAATTTACATACTTTTGCACATTTTCCAATACATTTCATTTCTTCATTTCCTTACCTTTTAGATACAGGAAAACTATGAAAAAGAATAATACTGAGATCTCATTTAATGTTTGTGCCTATCCTTAAATATTCAAAACTTTTCATGAGCATTAAGAACTAAAAAATTAAAAATATTCTCTTCCATCTATAATATTTTCACTGGTATGTTTCTTGGTATATTTAATAGCAAAAACTCATTTCCATCCTATTTTTCATAAAATTTTGCTTCAATAATAAACCAGCTTTGTGTCCATTAGTATAATTCTATGGCTTCTTAAAGCATGTTAATAAAATATTAATAATCTATAAAACTTGGTTATAGCACATGAGGGTTTATTATAGTATTCTTTTTATTGTTATATATTTGAAAATTTCCATTATAAAATGAAAAATATTCATAACCCCATTCACCAAAGTGAAGTCAAATTTCCTTCTGTGCAGAGTTCATAAAGCTATAAAAAGTACTATAGAAAAGAGAAAAAAAACTACACAAAACTTATCATGTTACCCATATCAATTTAATGTGTTGAAATAAGACTTCAATATCCTACTCAAAAAAATGCCCATACATCAAATTTATATAAAATACACTTTCTCCCAAAAAAAACTTTGAAGAACTTTAGATGTGCTAGCCAGATTGTAATTCCTCTTCATGGGGTCTCTGATGGCTTTCAAAGTTATAGATGATACGAGCAGAGTAAGGCATAGAAAAGTTTAATTAGATAGCCTGTGGTCATAAAAGAAACCAGAACTGAGAAAATTTCAGAATGACAGAATTTCTGGAAGTTACGTAGTTAGAGCTTTTATCCAAGGCTGAAAAACTGATTAGCACTCCTAGACATGAACATCCAGTTTCTGCATGAACAATTCTTCCTGCCTGTTTTATAATGATCACAGAGAAACACTTTTAGAGAAAGCTATTTTCTTAAATAAATGAAATTAGAAACATTCTTAATATACTAATTTGGGAGAGAAAGCCAAGTAAGTGGCTCTTACTGTGACAAAATGAAGTATAAAGTTAGGAATGCATTGTCATCACTTGCTAAGAAGCTGGACTCAGAATTAGTAAACCACATTTTTCATTTCATCTTTTAAATTTATCTTAAAAGTTGAAGGTTGAGAATTAGCAATTGGCTTTTCTTTCTTTAAATTATAAAATGAATACCTTTCAATAGTAACTAAAGCAACTGGTTTTTTCAGATTCCATGTATTAAAAATAAAAGCATTTAAAATTGTTGATTCCAATGTGTATCATTTTATGTTATAAATTATATTAAAAGTTAGGAAAGAAAATCATTCTCAAAAATTTAAGGAAAAAAATGATAGCATACTATCTTTTAGTTCTTAGGCAATAGATTCTAGGACTAGAAACAATCTACTTAATCTATTTGTAGAAAACATAAGTGTTTTATGCTTCTTTTCTAAAAACTGCTTGAGACAGAACTGTCAGCATGGATTACTTATGTTGTTAATGAAATAAATTCTTAGGATGAAAGTGCTATGTCATCCTTAATAATGAGTTCAATTCTCATTCCCTATAGCAATCCTCCATACATTTTTCTACTTGTCACGCACTACTTAAAATTAGTGAGAACATCAATACTGGCAAGTATGTAGAAAAAAGAATAAGTTTTTAACAAACTACAAAATGAAGAGTATGATACTGCCAATAATCCTTCAGATTATCATAAATTTGAAATGTAACCTTTGCTAATTTTAAAAATTCCAATTCAATTTATCAAATTTGTTTTCTAATATGCCTTTTCTAATAAGCTTTAGTGGGGAGAAAACATAACAATAGGTAAGTTATTAAACCTTTCCATCCTCAGTTCCATCCTCAGTACTGGGATATTAGAAATTTACCCTCACCAACTCACTGTAGGCATAGAAAGGACTTTAAAAAGCACTTCAGGCTCTAATGTCAGGGAAAGAAAATTATGACATAGCCAACCTTCAATAATGTATGGCTAGTCAATGTGAGCAGATTCCAGGGAGCAGCGGTGTGGTCCAGACCAGCAAGGGTGCCGAGAGATCCCAGCCAGGGATCTGCACTAACCCCAGAAGCTAGAGCAAACCTGCCCAACTAAGGGCCACCCAGGAAAGAGCTGCACAAGCACATAAGCTTCAGTCAGAGAACCACCCCATAGCATTGGTGGTTTGAACCCAGGGACTGGTGTACTAGTGAGCAGCAGAGAAAAGGTGTCTGGTGAGAATTGAAGACCACTGGGTGAGCAAAAAGTTGTCTCAATAGAGACACAGCAGACTGCATCTGCTGGAATGAGAAGACACAGAAACAAGTCCCAAAACCAGACTTTCAGATCACCTAAAGCAATACCAAAGGGAAACAAGATGGAACAATCTGATAATCAACCACCTGGATTCCCTGAACTGGCAACATAAGAGGATCTGGAAAAAATGAGGTTAGAAATAATTTCTCAGATAACAGTAGAGATTGTGCCCATAGTACAAGACATGATTAATAAATCTAAAGCAGACACAGATTTAAAAAAAAAATAGAGGAGCTGAGAAACATAATGGAATCCCAATATAGTAAACATATGGAATTCATAAAACAGATGCAAACAGATTTCCAGGAGATTAAAATCTCCATTGAAAGTTTACGCAGCAGAATGACCCAATGTAAGGATAGAATTTCAGATATAGAAGACAGAATTGCAATTAGTGACCAGGAAAAGAAAAGTCTCAAAAATAGTAAGGGACCATGAGAAATCAATTCAGCAGCTGCTAGATGATTCAAAGAAGAATAACATAAGACTAATTGGAGTCAGTGAAGAAACAGGAGAGAGTGCAGGTGACATAAAAAAAGTTCACTGAAGTAATGGCAGAAAATAGGGGAAAGGATAAGTGAGTCTTGTAGGACTCCGACTAGCCATGATTAAAAAAAAAAATCTACACTTATGCATACAATAGTTAAGATTCCAGAAACCCATCAGAAGAACAAAATTCTACAAACAGTTAGAGAAAAGAAACAAATCATGTACAAAGGGAAACCCATCTGAATCACAGCAGACTTCTCAATACAAACCCACAGGACAAGAAGAGTATGGAGTGACATATTTTAAGCCCTAAACGAAAATAACCTCCAACCCAGATTGATGTACCCTGCAAAACTATATTTCAAAATTGATGGAGAATATACTTTTATGACAAAGAGCACCTTAGGAACTTCATGAATACTAAACCAGCACTCCAAAAATTTTTAAACAATATCCTAGGAAAAGAGAATGAGGATCACAACCCTAGGAAGTCCAGAAGAATGAATCCATCAGACACAATAAATTAAACGCAAAGGGGGAGAATCCAACAAAAAGAAAGTCATGACAAGGATAAGTCAATACATATCAGTTATAACCATCAGTGTTAATGGCCTCAATTCACCAATCAAAAGAAACAGACTGGCAGAATGGGTCAGGAAGCAAGATCCAACAATATGCTGCATACAAGAAACACACTTAATTCAAAAAGAAACTCATAGACTGAAAGTTAAAGGGTGGAAAACAATACTGCATGTGACAGGAACAAAAAAAAAAAAAAAAAGCAAAGTTGCTATCCTCTTTGCAGATTAAGTGAATTTCAAACCAACACGATTAAAACAGAGACAAAGAAGGACGCTACATCCTTGTAAAGGAACAATCCAAGAGGAAGACACAAATAAATATATATGCACCAAACACAAGTGCACCCAATTATATAAAACAAATACTAACGGACATGAAAAATCATATAAGCACTAATACAATAGTAGTGGGAGACCTCAATACCCACTGTCACAAATAGATCAACCAGACAAAAAATAAACAATGAAATAGTAGAACTTAACCAAACTCTTGAACAAATGAACTGAACAATGTTTAGGTGAACTGAACAGATGTATTCCACCCCACAAAATCAGAATACACATCGTTTTCAGCTGCACATGTATTGTTCTCCAAGTCAAACCACATACTTGCTCATAGAACATGTCTAAG